CTACTGTCAGGTTGCTTCTTTCTTTGGCTTTATCTTCTAGTTGGGTTATCAGGCAACTTGATGTTCATAATGCTTCTTTAAATGGAAATATGCCTGCAACTGTTTATATGAAGCAACCACCTGGTTATATTGATACTCAATATCCCAATCACGTTTGCTTGCTTAAGCGTTCTTTGAATGGCTTAAAACAGGCCCCTAGAGCTTAGTTTAATCGTTTACATACGTTCTTACTCTCTGTTGGGTTTCAAGCATAAAAAACGGATGTGTCTCTATTCTACTACTCACATGACTCTGCTTATGTGTATTTTTTTTTTGTCTATACTGATGATGTACTTGTGATGAGAAGTTATTAGGATCGTGTGACTCGTTTGATAAAAGAAATATCTATTGCATTTAAGATTATGGATCTTGGTGAACCTGGTTTCTTTATTGGGATTGAAACAATTAAATGTGATGATGGTATTTTACTTTTGCAACAGAGATATATGAATGATATTTTGAAACGTGCTAGAATGGCAGAATGTAAGGCATTGTCTACTCCTATCTCTATTTCGAAATCTATACCCTTCAGTACAGATTTATGTGAGGATCCTACACAGTACAGAAGTTTGGCAAGAGCACTACAGTATCTAACTATCACATGCCCAGATCTATCATTCGCAGTCAATCAATTGTGCCAACACATGCATGCTCCTACAATTTCACATTGGGAACACCTAAAGTGTGCCTTGAGTTATGTAAAGGGAACAGTTAATTTTGGCTTACGTATAAGAAAGTCAGCATCAAGAGAACTCCACGCATTTTCTAATTCTGATTGGGCTGGTTGTCCTGAGGACCGTAAGTCCACGAGTGGGTTTGCTTTGTTTCTTGGATCCAACCTTATCTCTTGGGTCAGTAAGAAACAAAGAACTGTTGCTAGATCTTCTACGGAGATTAAAGTGTCAGGTATATCTGTTCCAAAATTATGGTGTGACAATCTTGGTGCTACTTATATCTGTACCAAGCACATGGAAATTGATACACGCACGCACGCACGCACGCACGCACACACGCACACACGCACACACGCACACACACACACACACACACACACACACACACACACACACACACACACACACACACACACATACATATATATATATATATATATATATATATATATATATATATATATATATATATATATATATATATATATATGTTATTTTTCCGGTTTCAACCGGTTTAATTGATTTAGGGCTTTAGGTTAATTCCACGCTGGTTCTATTGTTAGAATTTAATTGAAGACTCAAGTCACTCAACTTCATCTGCTTCACCGCTCCTTTACAGCTTCATCAGGCGAAGAACGGGAATATCATCGTATTCAATTGAAGACTCACGTCACTCAAAGGCGATGTTTTTGAGGCACGAAGGATTTCTGGGCGCATTAGGGGTTGTGAATTTTTGATGAACTACAAAAGGGACGATCTCGGGGACTTGTTATCCCATCGATTCGTGTAACAACTTTCAATTCAATGAGTTCAGGTGGCGCCAAAGATCAATTCATTTCACAGCTCAACACTTGTGAGTGTTAGTGAAAATTGATCTGGTCTATGTATGATTTCCTACTCAACTCCAACCTGCACTCTGGGATCAATTTTTACTAACATTCACACAAGTGTACATTGAGTTGTGAAATGAATGAATCTTTGGCGCCACCTGAGCTTGTTGAGTTGGAAATTGTTGCACGAACCGATGGGATAATAAGTCACCGAGGTCTTCCCTTTTGTAGTTCATCAGAGCCCCTAATGCGCCTAGAAATCCTTCGTGCCTCAAAAACAACGCCTTTGAGTGACTTGAGTCTTCAATTGAATATGGTGGTACTCTCATTCTTCGCTTGGTGAAGCTGTGAAGGAGTGGTGAAGCTAGCATATAAAGTTGAGTGACTTGAGTCTTCAATTGAATCCTAACAATTAGAATTGGCGTGGAATTAACCTAAATTCCTATACCAATTAAATATGAAGAGACAAAAATATCTTTATTGAAAATAGAAAAAGTCATGAGAATGACTAAAATTTTCTAAAAATGATAGTTTGAGATTTTGCAAGTGTAGGTAACTGAGATTAAATATATATGTCCAACATTTTTTTCAACATTATTTTATTTAGTGGCCCTTTAATGGAGTAATATCAATGAGAAATTCTAGAAGGTAAAAAGCATACGGAAAAGATGCACTTTCATAAATTAGCTACAATGGAATATGTAATATTATTTTTTTTTTTGAAATATTCATAGATAATATCTGTGTGTGTGTAATTTATTTAAATATATATTTATAGATAGACAAAATTATATTGAATTAAATATATATACATTAATTATATATATATATATATATATATATATATATATATAAATATATATATATTATTTTCAAATACAAATCCTCTTTAAAATATAAACATCCCTTAAAATACAAACTGTGTGTATGTAAGTATGTTAATGTGTGCACGAGATAATCTCAGATATTGTTGACAGTGTGCATGTAAGTATGTTAATGTGTGCACGGGCTTTGATGGGTGGTTGTGATTTTTCCTCCTACGCGCTGTGTGCATGAAAGTATGTTAATGTGTGCACGAGCTTTGATGGATGATTGTGATTTTTCCTCCTAAGCGCTATGTGCATGTAAGTATGTTAATGTGTGCATGAGCTAATCTCAGAAATTGTTGGCCGTGCGCCCTATGTGCATGTAAGTATATTAATGTGTGCACGAGCTCAAGTTTTTATTTTAAGGGGGTTTGTATTTGAATGCAACCCTATATATATATATATATATATATATATATATATATATATATAGAGGATCAAGTGCACATCCCATTCCCGTGTGAAAATGCGGTTGCTGCACTTGAAGGCTCAAAACATGCACTTGAAAGTAAATAATGTGCACTTGAAGGTAAAAAAGTTGCATGTGAAGGCAAATAGATGTGCAATTGATATAATTTATGGTGCCAAAAATGTAGGTTATTCAAGTTAAGTGTTATTAAACCAATTACCCATACAAATCGTTTGTAAATCTCACAAATTTCATTGAAAATTTAGTAATATGTTATTGAAAAAAATGCACAATATATAACAAATACTGCCTAGAAGTTGTGCACTTGAAGACAAAGAAACATGCACTTGAAGGCAAAGAAACATACACTTAAAGGCAAAGAAAACATGCACTTGAAGGCATAAAATTGTGCACTTGAAGGCAAAAGGGTTCACTTGAATGCTAAGTTTTTTTTTTCTTTTTTTTTTTTTTTTTACACAATAGTAATACACACAAACTTTTAGACATTAATTGAGCACTTGAAAGCATAAAGAGGATCACTAGAAAGTAAGAGAGAAAAAAAAAAAGGACGCTAAAAGGGAAAATTTGAATGAAATTAATTATGCACTCTTAGAATGGAAAACATGCACTTGAAGGCTACAAAACGTACATTTGAAAGCCAAAAGATTTGCACTCAAAGGCACAAAGATGTGCGCTCAAAATAGAAACTAAGTACTAAAATAAAAGTGATGTACTCGAAGAAGAAAAAGCTAGTATGCACTTGAAGAAGGGAAAATGTGCACTCGAAAACCAAACACAAGCTCACTTATTTTCTCAAAATTACAAAAATACCACCGCGCGTTTTTTTTTTTAATTATCTTCATTCTGGGATGTTGATTTGGACTACATCTATGGTTGAGACTTAACTCTATTTTTTATGTGAGACTTTTTTATTTGATCCTTATTATATATATATATATATATATATATATATATATATATATATATATTTTGAAAGGTATCCGTGCGGTGAATGCATCCCGTACGGATGTGCGGTGGATTAATGTGCGTAAGATTTGTACTCAATGTGCGTGAGTGTTGTGCTTACTGTGCCTGAGATTTGTACTTAATGTGCGTGAATGTGTAAAATGCAGCAGAAAATATTGATGTCAGCTTCTTCCCATCCCCCGTAGCCATTTGCCCCCTCCCTGATGATGATGATGAGGAGGTGAGCTATGGTGGTTAAAAATTATGGGAATAATACAACAGAAATTCACACTTAGCTGCTGTGCAAATTTTATTGTACGTGCGTCATTTATATAAACATTCAACTGCACTGAACGTAGCTGATAATCCAGAATCCATGGCCAAATTGAAGGAAAAAGTAACAAGAAGCTTGGGCGTTAATGTCCGTGAGTTTCTGTTCTGCTTCCTTCTGAGCTCGTAATTCTGAAATACGCACGCACATTAAACACAAATCTCATGCATATTAAACACAATACTAAGGCACATTAAGTACAAAACTCACGCATATTAACATGACGCACATTAAGTACAAATCTCAGGCACATTGAGTACAAATCTCACGCACATTAAATATAAACCTCACGCACATTAATCCACCGCACATCCGCACGGAAAGCAACAAATGCACCTGATCCCTTCCCTATATATATTGTATAAAGCTATTTATGTCTTTTAAAAATATATTCTATTTTTATTCTTTTAACCCACCAAATACTGAAATACAATTCCTAAAGTCTATTCTTTCACCGAACCAAATAATAGATTACAATTCATATTTTATTTCTTATCTATTCTATTCTCTATGAAATAGTATTCTTATTCTCTCAAAACTCATTTGGTGAACCAAATGTTCTGTTAGTGATTTAATTAGTCGGGTTTAGATATTTATAAACTCTGAACTAAACCGTTTACAGCCTGTTTTCTTAACTTTTTCTTAACTTCTTAAGTAAAAGTTTGACAAATTCCAAGACAAATTTCTAATTCTTCTTCTCTTCTTCAATTACTTAATACCAATCCAAGTAATTTCTCCAACTCTTTGAATGTTTTATCTTAGGGTGATAAAAAGTTATATAGGACAGTGTTTGAATAAAAGGCTGAGTTTTTTTTTTTTTTTTTTAATTTATACCAACATTATATTTCCTTGATCGGTTCCATATATCCAAAAATTTTCCTTACATCAAGATGGAGGAGCAACACAGCTGCACTTAAGTGGCACAGTTGATCGTTGGGCACCAAACAACTCAAGCTCCTCGTCGAAGTCATTAGAAAATTCATTAGAGTACCATCCAATTACCTTTATTGTGGTTTAGAAAAGTCATCAGACAAAAAAGTACCCTCCATTTACCTTTGTTTTGGTTAAGGAAAATCATTAATTATAGGTACCCTCTAATTACCTTTGTTATGGTTCAAAAAAGTCATTAGACCACAAGTACCCTCCAGTTACCTTTGTTGTGGTTCAAAAAAGTCATCAACAATAGGTATCCTGCAGTTACCTTTGTTAGTTGTAGTTCAGAAAAGTCATTAGACCACAAGTACCTTCTAGTTACCCTTGTTGTGTTCAAGAAGCCATCAAACCACATGTACCCTCTAGTTACATACCTTTGTTGTGGTTTAGAAAAGTTATTAAATTATATGTACCCTCTAGTAACCCTTGTTGTGGTTCGTAAAAGTCCTCAAACCACATGTACCTCCAATTACCTTTGTTATGGTCCAGAAAAGTCACCATACCATAGGTACCCTCTAGTTGTGTACCTTTGTTGTGATTCAGAAAAGGCATCAAACCACGGGTTCCCTCCAATTACCTATGTTATGGCTCAGAAAAGTCATCACCTCAAGGGAACCCTCCAGTTTCCTTTGTTGTTGTCTAGAAAAGGCATAAGATCATAGCTAGGTACGATAGAGTTACCTTTGTTAGTTGTTGTTTAGAAAAGGCGTCAGACCATAAGAATCCTCTAGTTACCTTTGTTGTGATCTAGAAAAGTCATCATCCCTTGGGTACCCTCCATTTACCTTTGTTGTAGTTCAGAAAATGCATCAGACCATGAGTACCCTCAAGTTACCATTGTTATTGTTTAGAAAAAAAGAATCAAGCCATAAGTACCTTCAAATTACCTTTGTTGTCGCTCAGAAAATGCACCAGATCATAGGTAAGTACCCTCGAGTTACCTTTGTTATTGTTCAGAAAAGGTATAGGTATCCTTGAGTTACCTTTGTTATGGTTCAGAAAAGGTAACATACCATAGGTACTCTCGAATTACGTACCTTTGTTGTGGTTCAAGAAACAAACAAATCAAACTATAGGTACCTTGGAGTAATATTACGTGCATGGTTTGTGTTTGCAATATTACGGATTATAAATATTATAAGGTTGAGTACTTGCGTTTGTTTGTTATATTTTCTAAAATAGTGTTTCAGGATATTTACAAACACTTGAGGAAGATGTCTGATGATGGTGTGAGTGAAGGACAGTTCTATCAAGTACTTTTCCATGAACTAGATTAGATGCATGCAATTCGGAAGGTAATTTTGTTTTGTTTTTTTTTTTTTAAAAAAAATTATTTACCATTCTCTATTTTCTAACACTAAAATATAATTTCAGACATGTAACTCATTGAAGCTTGATTACAAGCCTCCTGTTACCTTTGTTGTGGTTCAGAAACGTTATCACACAATACTTTTGGCCGATCGATTACCACTGAAATCAAAGCTTTGGATAGGAGTGGTAACATCCTTCCAGGTACCAATAATTAGTTCCAATCTATCTAGCTAGTTTGTTGTACTTTCATTTCCAATTACTATTCTTGTTTGGTGCAAGGTTTGTGCTACGTGCAATGGGTTTCTCTTTGGTGCATGGTTTGTGCTAGTCACTCATATCTCATTCTATTTCATTTCTTTCCTTTTGTGGCTTGCAAATGATATTTTTACGACTTTCACTATAAAGTTATGTGGTAATTTGTATGAAAAACATGAGGAACATCATAGTTGTGAGGAGACGGAACAATAATGGTGCTTGAAGAAAAGGAGACGAGACAGTAAAGGTGAGGAAGATGAAAAAGAAAGAGATTTTGTTTTATTGCATATTGTATTCTGCTGTAGAAATAAGTGAATGAAGGAATATAAATATACAGAAAAAAGCAATCTGCAAGATATGTACATGCAAGATTTAAGGAATACAAATTGTAATATTACTCAGGAAATATTTTGTTTCCCAAAAATTAAAGAAGCTTCCATCTATTGTGATGAGAGCCGTTGGTGATATGCTGCATATGGAGTCCATCGCGCCCTCCTCAAGTTGGCGCATGAATGTTAAGAGTGCCCAACTTGACAAGCAAAGAATGGAAGCGATCTTTTCCAAGAGCCTTAGTAAAAATGTCTGCTAGTTGAGCACGCGTGTGAATTTTTTGTGGTGCAATTTCACTGGATTGAACTCGTTCCCGAATAAAATAGCAATCCATCTCTACGTGCTTTGTGCGTTCATGATAAACTGGATTGTTTGTTATCTGTAGAGCAGCTTGGTTATCGCAAAATAGAGTAGTTGGACGAGACTGAGGGCACACAGATCTCTTAGGAGCCAACGAAGCCATAAAATTTCACTCACAGTGACGGCCATAGCGCGATATTCAGCCTCAGCTGAGGAACGAGAAACAACAGATTGGCGTTTGGTACGCCATGAGATTGGTGAGCCACCCAAAGTGATATAATATCCAGTGCATGAGCGACGAGTAGTTAAACAACCACCCCAATCTGCATCGCAATACGCTAAAAGATCTAATCCGGTTGAGTTAGATAGCAAGATTCCTTGACCCGGAACATTTTTTAGATAACGTAGCAACCGATAAGCAGCATCCATGTGCTCTTGCCGTGGGGTACTAACAAACTGGCTAAGAATATTAACTGCATAAGTGATGTCTGGTCTTGTTACTGTAAGATACAATAGGCGTCCAACCAAGCGACGATACCGAGAGGCATCAACAAGAGCCCCATCAGAGTCAGCACGTAGTTTATGATTTTGCTCAATGGGGAACGCACTTGGGCGACATCCTTCTAATCCACTCTCAGCTAATATGTCAAGTGCATATTTACGTTGGCTTAAAACCAGTCCATGAGGGGTTCGAGCGACCTCAATGCCAAGAAAGAATTTAATGGACCCCAAATCTTTGATTCCAAATTTATCATCAAGGAAGGCCTTAAGGGTGTGTATCTTTTCTTTGTCATTGCCAACTAAGAGCACATCATCTACATAAATGAGAGCAGAAAAGGTGAGGAAGATGAAAAAGAAAGAGATTTTGTTTTATTGCATATTGTATTTTGCTGTAGAAATAAGTGAATGAAGGAATATAAATATACAGGAAAAGCAATCTGCAAGATATGTACATGCAAGATTTAAGGAATACAAATGGTAATATTACTGAAAAAATATTTTGTTTCCCAAAAATTAAAGAAGCTTCCATCTATTGTGATGAGAGCCGTTGGTGATATGCTGCACATGGAGTCCATCAGTGCTCCTCGTCCGACATGATAATGCCATGCATGTTTTCTGATGAGGAACATCATAGGTCTTGGAAGCTCCTGCGTCGGCCTTATATTAGACTCGAAATGGTGCTCCTCGCCTGACATGCCATGCTTGTTTTTCGAGCTTCAATCTGAGGATTAGTGTAGAGAAAACGGAGAGATTAGGGGTGAGGGAACGATCAGATCAAATAGACTTCAATTTACTATTTTGTTCATGAGTTAATGGGTGTATGACTATCTTTTGTTGCATGATTAGGGGTGAGGGAACGATCAGATCAAATAGACTTCAATTTACTATTTTGTTCATGAGTTAATGGGTGTATGACTATCTTTTGTTGCATGAAATTTAATTTTGAGTTTTCATATTTTGAATTTCTCCGATCCGTATGGTATGTGCATGTCATGTGCATCTAATTGAATAGCAATATTTTAGAGGTATTGTTTTTTCATGAAGGTTTGAAAATGTAATTTGTATTTAGAAAATTAAAGTCATCGGACCATAGCTAGCCTTCAATTACCATTGTTTTGGTTCAGAAAAGTCATTAGACCACATACAACTTATACAAGTACCCTCCAATTACCTTTGTTGTTGTTCAGAAAAGTCATCAACCATAGGTACCCTCCAGTTATCTTTGTTGTGGTTCAAAAAAGTCATGAGACCACAACTACTCTCTACTTACCCTTGTTGTGGTTCAGAGAAGTCATCGAACCACATGTACCCTACAGTTATCTTTGTTGTGGTTCAGAAAAGTCATTACACTACACATACCCGCTAGTTACTCTTGTTGTGGTTCAGACTAGTCATCAAACCACATGTACCCTCCAGTTACCTTTGTTGCAGTTCAAAAAAGTCATCAAGGCCATAGGTACCCTGTAGTTACCTTTGTTGTGGTTCAGAAAAGGCATCAATCCTACCCTCTAGTTACCTTTGTTCTGATCCAGAAAAGTCATCATCCCATTGGTACCTTTGAGTTACCTTTGTTCTAGTTTAGAAAAGGCATAAATCATTGGTACCCTCGAGCTACCTTCTTAAAAAAAGGTGCCAGACCATAGGTACCCTCCAGTTGTCTTTGTTGTGATTTAGAAATCATTCCATGGGCACCCTCTAGTTACCTTTGTTGTAGTTCAGAAAAGGTCTTAGACCATAGGTACCCTCGAGTTACCTTTGTTGTCGTTCAGAAAAGGCATCAGGCTATAAGTAGCCTTGAGTTACCTTTGTTGTCGCTATAATTAAGTAGCCTTGAGTTACCTTTGTTGTCGTTCAGAAAATGCATCAGACCATAGGTATCCTCGAGTTACCTTTGTTGTGGTTCAGAAAAGACAACAAACTATAGGTACTCTCGAATTACCTTTATTGTGGTTCAAAATAGTTATCATACCATAGGTATCCTCCGGTTACCTTTGTTATGGCTCAAAAAAACAAAAAGCATCAGACAATAGGTATCCTTGAGTAATAATACTGTTGTTTGGTGCATGGTTTGTGCAGTGGGTGTGCACGGTTGGGATTGGGGATTCCACCTTTTGGAAGAAGAAATGAGGAAAGATAAAGCTACAATGGGTGATGAGGATCTGTGTCCGATGATGAAGATGACGGTGAAGAAGATGATCCGGAATGCCTAGAAATCAAGGTAATGAAAGAAGAGAAAATTATAATGAGAAAATCTTGGAGGCAATCCGTTATTGTGAAATTTTTTGGCAGAAAAGTTGGGTATGCGAACCTATCTAAAAGGATCAATGCAATATGGCGCCCCAAGGCGAGAATGGAGATTGTAGCCCTTGACGATGAATATCACATTGTTCGTTTCTGGTCGGTTGACGACTACGAATTTGTGAAGTATGGCGGCCCTTGGACCGTTATGGACCACTACTTGATAGTAGAGGATTGGAGGCCTAACTTCAACCCCAAAACGGACAGAACTGAACGTGTGTTACTGTGGGTGCGGTTCCTGGATGTGTGATACAACCCTGAGGTTGTATGGGTTGCTCTTCTTCGAGTCAAGAGCCAAACTCTATGGCTGTGCTTCGAGTGACAGCCGAACTCCCATTGACTATACTTCGAGTGATAGTCTAACTCCCAGAGACATTCATAAATATATTCTTCATTGTTATCTTCAAATACATAGGTAGGTATTTATACATGATCATAGAAACTACCCACCACCCCTTTAACTATCCACTACCCCACTACTTGTATAACTACCTATTACATGCCTAAAATAGTGGTTATCCCACTATACAATAATAATAATAATAATAATAATAATAATAATAATAATAATAATAATAATAATATAATAATAATAATAATAATAACTCCATCAACACCATGGGTGTATCAATGTGCCAGTTGAATGTTACCATAGGCCGTTCTTGGAGAAACTTGGGACGAAGATTGGTGAACCCAAGTATGTTGATCAGGCAACGAGTATTGTATCCAGGGGAAGGTTTGCAAGATGTGCGTGGAAATCGACATCACAAAGCCTCTACTTTCAAAAAGAAAAAGGAAAGAGACCAAACGTGCAAATTAACGAGAGACAAATCATGCAAGATAACCATGCAAAGGAGAGTTCCGTACAAGTGCCGAAAACCACTCAGTTAGCGAGCAATACTACTCGTGGCAGATCTACAAAGAGCATCCAGGCAGCGGCGGAGAGCTCTCAGACGGTGGCACACGGCAATTTGAAGGATAAAATGTCTGTCAGTACTACTATTAATAATGTAGAGAATATCCCAATAACACATGGATTATTGGGTTTTAATGTCTCTGAGCATAATGGTGATCCTCCTGACCCTAATTTGGACCAAATGGAGGAGGAACCATGGCATGAGTGTACGGAAGATGTTGGCCGAGGTGGCACCCCTGACGGGCCGGGTTGCTTCTTAAGCCTTCGTTCCCTTGTGTTTTTGTGTGTTGCTGCCTCTTTTGTCGTGGTCCCATGATTATAATTACATGGAATTGCCAATGTGCGGCACCTAAGAGGTTTCTTAGAGTCGCCATGACAATTATTAGGCAACACAAGCCTAACTGTTTTTGTTTACTTGAGCCTAAGTGTTCGGGCGTGGGTGCTGATGAAGCTTGCATTAAGCTGGGCTTTGATCAATGGCTAAGAGTGGAAGCTGCTTTTTTGAAATATTATTTTTAAAAAAAAATTGATAATCTTACATTGATATACGTCAGAATACGAAATGATACTTTGATATATAAATCCTAATACACTAATTTAAAAATACACATGAGACATTGGACTGTTCCTACAATGCGCCTATACCCTATAGTAACTAGTCATTGGATGAGGATTGAGCCAACATCGTCTGTGATGATTGCAAAAACACTTTGTAGAAGGTTTCTTCTCGATCACCTGAGACAATACAAACAGCTTCAAGGCATAACAGCTCATCTCATTTTGAAATTAAATTAAAGAGACTTCCAGCATATGATGGAAGAGCCTCTATACTGAAGGTATATGTGCTTTCAACTTTACTTTCAATTACATACTCCGGTCCGTTGCATTCTTTGTGCAGAACATGTGCATCTATAGTTGAATAGCGGTTTAGATTTTGTTGTATGAAATTTTGAGTTTTCTTTATTACTTTTATTGTTGGGCGGAGATCAGTGAAATGTCAAGTCCAACAATTGGTGTGAGTGGAGGCTTGAAGGCCAAGTCAAACTACATGGACCCTCCAGTTACCTTTGTTGTGGTTCAGAAAAGTCATCATCCCACAGGTACCCTTCAGTTACGTTGTAGTTCAAAAAAGGCATAAAATCATTGGTACCCTCGAGCTACCTTCGTTGTTGTTCAAAAAAGTTGCCAGACCATAGGTACCCTCCAGTTGCCTTTAATTTGTTGTGATTTAGAAATCATCTCATGTACCCTCCAGTTACCTTTGTTGTAGTTCAGAAAAGGTCTTAATTAGGCCATAGGTACCCTCGAGGTACCATTGTTGTCGTTCAGAAAAGACATCAAGCTATAAGTACCCTTGAGTTACCTTTATTGTCGTTCAGAAAAGGCATCAAACCATAGGTATCATCGAGTTACCTTTGTTGTGGTTCAGAAAAGACAACAAATTATAGGTACCCTTAAATTACCTTTATTGTGGTTCAAAATAGTTATCATACCATAGGTACCCTCCGGTTACCTTTGTTGTGGCTCAAAAAAAAAACAAAAAGCATCAGACAATAGGTACCCTTGCATAATAACATTACTATTGTTTGGTGCATGGTTTGGGCAGTGGGTGTGCACGGTTTGCGTTTGCCATATTACGGATCGAATTAATATAAATATTATATTGCTGAGTTTGTTTGTTATATTTGTGCTATAGAGTAGGACTATAATCATATATGTGTGTAGTTGCTAGTTTATAAAAGTGTAACTACTTGCTACTTGGTTTATCCATGGAAATCTAGCGAACTTCTAAAATATATATCATATCTCATTCTTTGAAATCTAGCGAACTTCTAAAATATATATCATATCTCATTCTTTTTCATTTCTTTCTTTTTCTTTGTCTTGCAAATGATATATATTTTCAGGATTTTCAATATAAAATTATGTGGTAATTTTTCTCATCCCGAAAACACCACAGGCACCGTTTTGTTTTATATTTTTTTCGAACCAAATACAAAATCTTAATAATTAGGATAGAAATATATCAAAATAAATAAAATCTTGTAGAAGAAATTCTTCAACAAGTTGAGTTACCCCGTATATAAATATTAGAGCCAAATCACCCATGCCGGGCATCACAGACACAATAAGTTCCTTCTACTCGGAAGATTGCTTGGCCACTCACGATTTACCTTCTCGAATAACCTTTAGACACGATTTACATTTTTCAACGACTTTTAAGTAAAAGTACACTCTATGGGGTTAAGATTAGTTTAGCATAACCTGGGAAACGTATAAAAAAGAAACTTCTTCTACTCACCAAATTTATCCTTGGTGTTTGTGAGCAGAGCTTCATCAATTGAAAGCCAGCTGAGAGTCATCCTTAGTGTTACCATTCTCCGTGAGAAGACTCACAAATCCATCCTTCGAGATATCAATAAGCTAGTAATATGTGCGGGAAACACGAAGAACATCACAGTTGTGAGGAGAATGAACAATATCTTCAAGCTTCTTAGCAGTGTCGATCCCAACAAAGTGACATTTAGCATGGTCGTTTTTGATGATAATTTACAAAGTGACATTTAGCATGGTCGTTTTTGATGATAATTTAACCGTTCTTACGGATAGTACTGGTCTGCTAAGGTCATGCAATGCATGTAGGCCTTAATGGTGCTCCTCGTCCGACATGCAATGCATGTAGGCCTTATAATAGACCAAGGTCATGCAATGCATGTAGGCCTTAATGGTGCTCCTCGTCCGACATGCAATGCATGTAGGCCTTATAATAGACCAAGGTCATGCAATGCATGCATGTAGGCCTTAATGGTGCTCCTCGTCCGACATGCAATGCATGTAGGCCTTATAATAGACCAAGGTCATGCAATGCATGTAGGCCTTAATGGTGCTCCTCGTCCGACATGCAATGCATGTAGGCCTTATAATAGACTCCAAATGGTGCTCCTCGTCCGACATGCAATGCATGTTTTCCGAGGATTAGTGTAGAGAATACGGAGAGATTAGGCAATATGAAAATATGTTAATGCTAAGATCTGAACCCTTGACCTTTATAATAATTACCAAACATATGCTCTACCAAGTAATCTAACTCATTCATGTTAACATTTAATAGTTTTGTTTTTTTATACTTATACTAAAACCTGTAGTATATATACATATATTCATACCAAGATTATATAGGGGGTAGGGTGAGGGTGAGGGGGGCAGTCGCCCCCCTGCCCCCTTTAGCTCCGTCCCTGATTAGGGGTGAGGGGGCGATCAGGGTGATGGATGTTTATATCTTTTGTTGCATGAAACTTTTTCATATTTTGAATTACTCCGTATGTG